CTCAACTGCACAGGAGACACGCACATAAAAAAAAGTTTTACACATCTGATTGAGCATGTGCCAGGTATAGAAAATCCATCCAGTTCTATTCTGCATCAGATTGATCAAAGCCACCATATTACCTCCTGAATGTTGAGCTAATGACTGACCTCCTTAATATCCACCAGATGAAGATGTTTTATCTCTTCAATGAGGTCTAATCTGTTTCTCATTAAAAAGGCTAAAAATAGCAAGAAAGGAATCTATCTATTCTCTTTCAAGAATATAACATTATGTATTTTCTGCCCTCAGTTGTGAAACCATTGTCTTATTAGAACCTGAGGCTGCTAAGAGGCCTAATGTAAGTGAACACCTACAGGGTTATTCACAAAAGGGTGAAGAGTTTGGAGAAGGCAGGAGAAGGGAACAGTCTAGGCCAAATAGCTGATTTGGAAAAATTCTCCAATTCAGCTTACTTTCCAGTTCAGCTATGTTGTCCTAGATTGTTCTCTTCTCCTGCCTTCTCCAAACTCTTCACCCTTTTGTGAATAATCTTGCTAGTCATGGAGTGACCACTCTCCTTCCAGTTAGTGATGACTCTTATGTTGTGTTGGTCAGGAAAGACAGGCTGTGCTGCAGTATTGTATGTAGTGAACAAGCTGTGGATCCCTGACTTATTCATCCCAGCTTCAAATGAGTAAGTTGACGACATGCAGGACAATCATAGCTCATACTGGTGCACTGTCTGTCCCTACAAAGAAGCACCGTAACGATTTTACAAACCTGCCCCCCCCCATATTTCCTGCAAACCTTTGCTAGACCTCAACAACAGTGTAGGGTTGGCTAGGGGGTTGTTGGGTAGCTTGTTGTGCACCTGCTTACATTGAACTCTGATAACACCAGTGACTTCCAATTTTTATTTTATATTACACATAGGCACATAGACAAAAAAAGCAACAACACCAAGAAGTAAAAAGTCCCAAAAATAATTTTTATCTGAAAAACAATGTACAATTATTATTATTGCACGTTTTTGTACAAGAAACCCTAATAAATATAAACAAAAGCTATACATAGACATTTTATATTATTATTAATAACAATAATAACATTATGCTGTATCTTTGCAAAACACACTTTGCACACAGAACATCATCTGAAAAAGTGGCTGTATCATGTGCATTTCTCTTGGGTAAAATAGGGAGGTAATTTCAGTGGTTTCAGGTGCAGCAGTTATGATTTTGCGGATAAATGTTTTCCTTTTTTGTCCATAAGATAGTGGATTAACTGTATAGTGATGCAACTGCACCTGGGTCCTGAGGCTGGGGAGGAGGTTTGGGGCATGAGGTCACATGACACATGGGGAGGCTTTCAGTGAATGATGCTCTTCTAGGACTGACATAAGCAAGGTTAATTTGAGCATTGCCAAATTGATAAAATGTGGAAGGTTCCCAGTATTGTTACACAGTGATTTTATTTTGAAACTTGTGATGATATCATCATAACTGATAACTTCCATTGTGCCCCAGCAACAAGTGTTATCAAAAGCTATGTTAAAAATAGCTATTGTTACCTATACTTACTTGTGCAGTACTGACCTGGGGCTTTATAACTTTCATCAGGGATATGAAAAACAGCCACATGGCCCTGGAATAGCTTTTGTATTTGCAAAATGTTCCATGAACACCAAAGTAAATGTCTAGCATGCCCAATGTCCCTGTAGCTGCTAAAGAACATATATGTGAGCACTATGGACAGTAGCGATCTCTGAAGGTGCCCATACACTGCACGATTCTCGTACGAGAATCGCGGGAAATCCGGCGATCGTACGATAATCGTGCAGTGTATGGAAGGCGTGCGACCGTTTCTAATGTACGGTCGCATGACTTTTGTATTTCGAGCATGTTGGAAAACCAGCCGAGAATCGTACGATTTTCGGCTGGTTTTTAACATGATCGCGAGATAACAGCCGAACGGGCCGGGGTGCGCACGCGCACACTGCCCGTTCAGCATTGCAGTCATCGGAAGCCCGCCCCTCAGGGGGGTGGGCTTGCGATGATCGCAGGTACGATCTGCCTGCCCAAGATGGGCAGATCATACGTTTCTTTAAGTACTTTACAACCCTCGCAAGACAAAAGTCTTGCAAGAGTTGTAAAGTGTATGAGCACCTTAACTCTAAGGAGTGGCCGTGTGATCTACACAGTTGACTTTCATGTTTTTTCCCCAGAAGGTCCAGGAGAAAATAATATTGCTGAACGGCTATCTTGCTAATTCTTCAATTGTTGGTTGAACAAGAAAGAAAATGTTCATGGCAGTGATTTAGAATCTGGATCCCCCCTATAGTATATAGGTGTATGTTCCACTGCCATCTATTTGGTGGGCCTATCTTCTAGATAGGGCTGTGTAATTTATTTCACTATGAGACCCAGGAACAAACTCTGTCTTTGACAATTTTAACCATGCTAAGGCTACCAATCCCCAAACTTTAATTTTGTATTACTTCACCATCAACATCTGACAACTTCAGTGAGGCATGATTAATTGAGGATTAAGGTCAGGCTCTATTAACCAGGTTGATTTGATGTAATATCAGTTGAAAAACCCTAATACAGGTGTTAACTGGTCTTCACCATTATGAAAAAGATTTTGGCATTTTCAAAAGTATTCCAATGGCTGCCTATAAGCACAGAACATTTTCACTTTGCAAGTAATACATTTTCTATTTTTAAACACCATAAAATATATCCTTAGTTATACTTTTCTAACGGCATCTTAATGAGCTTCTGGAGGGGATACCAGTTTTTTCCCTGCCCAATTCTTGCTGTTTCTAACAGCAGCCTTCAACAGTTGTATGTGTTCCAGATATTTATCACTGGAAAATCTTGGTCTAATTACAAGGGGATTTTAAGTGCTTAAAATAGTTGGCAAAGAAAAATGGAGGACTTTGCAGTGTGTTAATTGGCACTTGCTCGGTTGAATTAGCTGTATGAAATAAAAATGTTTGATGGTGGAAACTTCAGAATTCCACAGTAAATATGAGTATCTATTTTTTTTATTTCAGTATGATGGCCAACATATGCAGATCCCTGTCAACACATAAATATGTGACTCAGCAACTATCATTTTGGATTATGGGTATTTAAGGTCTCTTTAATGATTATAAGGGGGTCACTAAGGCCATTCTCTGATACCAAACTGAAAGTTCAGACCTTGGAAGATATAATTAAAGTAGGAAGTTACTTTTATAAAGCTCCCAACATAAAAGCTGGAAAACATGTATTGGTTTATTTAATGCACACAGCAGTGCACTAAGTGCGGTAAGCCATATCAACCAATTAGAATTTACAGGGTTATTCACAAAAGGGTGAAGAGTTTGGAGAAGGCAGGATAAGTGAACAATCTAGGACAACATAGCTGAACTGGAAAGTGAGCTGAATTGGAGAATTTTTCCAAATCAGCTATGTTGTCCTAGATCAGGGGTGCACACAATTTTTGTGTTAATATCTACTTTTCAAATGACGAGCTACATGAGATCTACCAACGAAAAAAAAAACTCCCTCGCTCTCACTTTCCTGGCTGTCTCTCCTTGCTCTCTCTCCACCAGTATCCACCAGAAAGGTGTCAGGGAGCTTGGCTCAGCAGACTCCTCCTAATAGGTAATTATGTGTGCACAGCTAAATAAATATACCAAAATGGAATAAAGGGGCCACCACTCACACCCTTCGTGATCTACCAGCATCAGCTTTGAGAGCTACTGGTAGATCAGTCTACCTAATGGGCACCCCTGTCCTAGATTGTTCACTTCTCCTGCCTTCTCCAAACTCTTCACTCTTTTGTGAATAACCCTGTTAGTATTCTGATTCCCATAAAATAAAATCTGATCAGTATCTCTGTGTTTCTGTACTTTGAATAGCATGATTCATCACCAAAGCTTGTTGTAATGTCTTAGTAAAAAATGCTTGTATGTGGGACTAGGTGTATGGCCACATTAAATCAAGGGAGACTAATCAGTTTATTTATGGATGTGTTCACTTGCCATAGGAATGCCACTCTGCTTCTACCAATGGTATGGAGGTCATTATCTTAACAGCTCACAGTGTAGGTTTAGTGGACATGTCTTTGCTATCCCAGTGGCTTTAAAATGTATAAGTAACAAAGTGCTATCTATTGAGAACCCATTCTATGTATTCGTAAAATGTGCCAGACCCACTAAAATAACTTTATTTGGATTTGCACATTTCTGTTTGTTATGTTATTTTCAAGCGACATATTATCATAAAGTGCCTGTAAAGACAGAGGTGGCTACCATTTGCCAGTTAAATGCATTAGGCCGGAAGTCACCATTTTCTTACATCTATTAGGGAAATATAATTAAACAAGCTTTAGAACATCATATGTCATTGCAATATACAACATGCCCGTCACCCTTGCCATCATAAAGATTAAGGAGCAGTATTCACATCTGTGCGAGAAACAGGCTCACAAGTCAGCAATGCTGTTTTTATAATTGCGACTGTTCATATAACATAGTCTTATATTTGGTGTTGTAGAATCCAGGAGGTTATTGGTCCCAGCTCTCTTTTCCTGTAGTGTGCGTCAGTGTGCAATGATTTGTATTCCATAGTGCGTATGGCAGAAACAGCACAATTAAAAAGTAGATTGAAACATAACACAAATTAAAAATACATGTACATCCAAAAATGTCCATCTTATTTCCACCCAGAATTTTAGTGTCCCAGCAAATCCCTTTGTTCCTATGTTGCTTCAATACCCTTTTCTAGGCTGCACAATCCTCACTGTCCATGGTACAACCACAAGGATTTGTGCTCCATGTCCTTGGCTTACAAATAAACTCCATTCCCAAGTGCGGAGCATCTGAAACATGCCAGTCAGCTATTCACGGTATTTTGTCTCCCAGCAGAAATGGAGGACATCTTTGTCAAGTCCTTTCTTAAGGGCCAGACAGAACAAAAATAAATATGTTCACAGGATCATCACAAGCCTGTGAAACAGCTCTTTTGTTTTCTGCATCTCCTTGCTTAACTAAAGCAAAGTTAGGATTCCAAATGGGTCATCAGGTCTTCTGAATGAGTCGTCAGGCTTTTCTACAAGTCCCGCAGCAGCGATATTTGAACTGTGCAAGCTGACAAAGTTTTAGCTGTTTCACTTTTTCACAGTACCGTGTCGTATCTCTGCAGTCAACTGTAAGCGTGAAAAGAAAAAACAGAACATGTCACATGAGGTCAGATGTGTGTGTTCGGAAAAACATTTCAGTCTCAAAATTATTTCAGAAAAATATGTGATATTGTTACATCTGGTGGCAGTATGTATTTTTGATGATTCTGAATCTTTGGCAGTAGTTCATAAATTTGAAACTTCATCAGGAAAATAGATTTATGTATTTAAAAACTACTCATATGAGGTTTGCTTAAAGTGATACTGTTGGCCGGATGATGAAAAACAGGATTTTTGTACTCGCTGTAAAACCCTTTTCTTCTAATTCCTTGAGGGACTAAGGATTAATTCAGGTATGCTGCTGCCTAAAGGAGGATTTGAACACTGGCAAACAAAAAACAGCGAGCAGCCTGGTTTAACCCCTCCCATTTCCAGCATGCCTCTGTTTTGTTACAAAAATGTGCTGAGAGCAAGACCATAAAACACAGAGGGGTGGGACTCTCCCTCAATAACACAGAGGGGTGGGAGGGGTCCCTCAATAAACTCAAAGAAGTTTATTAAGTATGATGAGTTTACAAATGCGGTTTCCTTTTTTGCTTTTTGATGGACATAGAATTCATGGATATTTGGGATTTCCAAAAGCAATCCTGCTGAATATTGGGCAATGCAGTAAATTAAAGACTAACAAGCCCAACTAAAAACAAAATGGGGACTGCCTGCAGCTCAAAGTGCAGCCTGTGTCACCTTATATCCAAAGAGGATTTGGAAAAGCTTTGAACATCCACCTGGCAAAACTTAACACCAACTTGTCCCTGTGTAAGACCATAAAGGGTTCATTACAGGACAAGGCCACCATTTTAGACAAATGCCTTGCAGAGGTGATGGCAACAAGGAAAACAACCCTGTAAATCAACATGGAAAGGGCAATATTTAGAGGGAGGTCTTTGAAGTGCAGAGAGAACCAAATTCAAATCCCATGGAGAAAGAGGTGAGCACACTGGGGAAGCCACTTGAGAAACACTCATATAAAGGGTCTTAATCAAAGAATGGTAGGCTAATGGTCTTTGGATCAATATTGCAAATGCTGAGATCTGACCTTAATAGTACCAATTGTTGATTTAAACCAGATTGTAAAAATGTCAGGATTTATCGCACAAAGTATATTCTGGGATGAACATTTATTTCCTTGCACCAGGCGAAGTATGCTTTTTATGTCTGAGTAAGAGGCTGCCCCAGTCATGCAAGACCTGGTCTTCAGCATCCATTCTGTAAAAGCATGCAACCAAGATGGTAAACTGGTCCTTGGGACAGAAGATCAGGTCAATCTGGAAAAGCCCACAGTAGTCTGATCAGGTTGGGGTACACTGCTGCTTGGGCCAGTCAAGAGCTATGAATACCACTAGAATACCCTCCATTTAAATCCTGTGGAGCATACAAGGAAGGAATTTAAGAGGAGGAAAGGCATAGATCAGTATGTACCGATTCCACGGAGTAACCAGAGCATTCATAGCTTCTACCAGAGGATCTCTGCACCTGGAGATAAACCTGTCTGGTTTGTTGTTGAATCTGGAGGCCAAGAGATTCAAATCCGGTGTCCCCCTCCTGTGGCAAAGATTCTGGAACACTTCCAGGTCTAGGGACCCCTCCCCTTTGTCTAGGTGTTGGCGGCTGAGGAAGTCTGTCTGCCAATTGTCCACCCCTAGGATGTAAATGGCAGACAAAGCTGGAATGTGAAGTCCTACCCAGCACAGAATCCTTTCTAGATTCTGGAGTGAAACTAGGCAAATGGGACCATCAGCCCTATGACTCTCATGCAAAAACGAAGAACAAGAGTCTGAGTCTGGGAACATTCTGGGAACAGAGAGTCAAAGTTTGTCTTTTGGAAGAAAGCTCTGGCCTGAGCTGCATCCAGGATCAGACCCAGATACTCATAAATCAGCTTCTACGCATACTTCTGAAGGTTCAAGATCAACCCAAACCTTTTCAAGATTTGAACCATCCACATTATAGGTCATATGCTCTACCAATTGTTCCCTCAACAGGAGAAGAAAATCTCCTTGGCGAAGGTAGGTTATGACAGACCTGGGGGATTCCATATGGAGTTTTTGAGGGCCTTGAATTCCAAGATGGGGTGAATGCCTCCTTTTGGTTTTGAAACTGTGAAAAAGTTGAAATACAATTCATAAAATGGTTCCAAAACAGTGAGTAGCATGATAACTTCTTGTTCCAGAAGATGAAGGTCTGCTAATCTGAGCAGTGACCCCAGAGGGTAAAATACATAAAGCGAGGATGGGAATAGAAGCACAATTCCAGCTTGTAGCCTGTCGAAATCACCTCCCATACTCAAGCATCTAAGATGCTGTCTTTGCCAAGGCCCACAAATGCTAACAGACTTCCCTTTGCTTTGGAAAGTGGGGCACACCTTCTTGTTGAAGAGGAGTTGTCTGCTGGTTTAGGTGATTCTGGGGCCCAGGTTTTATGGTGAAAATGGGCCCCTGGTTTAAGTTTTGCCTTAGAAGCTGAAGTAACAAAAGAAAATCTTTGCTTCAAAAGAGAGGTGTTTCTTCTTAGCTTAAAGCCTAGGCTTATTTTGCTAGGCTAGATGATTACTCTTACCTCCTGTAAAATCCGTGAAGAGGGTGTCCAAAGCAGCTCCAAAGAGATGTTCAACGTTGAAAGACATGTGCAGCAAAGGTTTTACATGCCTACTCTGGAGAACAACATTTTAACTAGAGTTCTCTGATGTTCACTGATAGGAAACACATACTGAAAATAAGATGGGAGACATTCACTTGTCCATTTACACAGTAGTGCAGGGCTTTTGGCATGAACTGTAAATGCTCCACAAAAAAAGGTTAGCATGGAATAAGATTGCCCTATGGTTTGACAGGCTAACATCACAGCAATGGCATATTGCAGTGCGGTGTCTGCCAGCGAAAACAAGGTTTTAGACAGTGGCTTCAGACATTTGTCTATTGGATCCCTAAATAATGGTGCATTTTCTACAGGAATGGTCAGAGCTTTATTAAAACAGGACCATGCTGGATTAGTCCGCTTCTTAATAAAGGCCTCCTCAAATGTGTATTGAACCTCAGAACATTTGGGAGGTGTAAACAGTTGATCGAGGTCCCAGGCTATAGGTGCTAGGTCCTTGAGAGAGAACTTTGCAGGCTGCTCCCAAATTGTTAGTGGACTGAGAGCTGGAGAAAATAAAATCAATGGGACTCTTCCTCCTATGTTTGTGATCCAACATGTTGCATGGCAAGGACCTTGGGCATGTATGAACCTACTGCTAACAGAAGGAAAGGTTAAAAAGGCTGGGAACTTTTTTTGCTTGCCACTGTCAAATTCCTCCTGTACGTGGCAGTATAACCCAAATGTCAATTAATTCTGCATTAACGATCCACATTGGTGTGAATGCACCCTTAAAGCAGAACTACATTTTCAAAATAAAAAAAGCCTGTAGGTAGAGGTTCTTTCCTTTTCCCCATAGCAATTTCTAATTTTCTGTGCACACTCTCTGCAGTGCATGCACACTGCGGTATACACTTCTGACTCAGTTCCGACATCTGTAAGATGCTGAGACTGGAGCCAGGGACAATTTAACTCCTGTGCACATTGTTACATCATCAGTGGCCACCGAATGGTCAAATAAGATGACAGGGGACCCAGAGGAAACAGAGAGGGAGTTGTCAGCTGCAGGGGATGGAGCGGCAACTGACACCCTGGATAAAAGGTAAATGTACCATATGTGCATACTTGCACATAATGGCAAGAGCCCAATCTCCACAGTGGACATTGGTTCCACTTTAAGTACTTTTGAGTCACAGACTCAGAACAAGCATTCTGTAACTGGGTGCCAGAATTCCTTATCTTTGTACTTGTTTTGGGTCGGCAACTCAGAAAGCACTGAAGTCAAAGCTTTAGAAAGACAGCCAGGAAACATGCATCCTCAAAAGGAAAATACAGCAATGGCAGCCTCCATAATTATAGAGCCGAAGACAGGGGAATCTGATATAACATTAACCTTTTGATATATGTTAATGCTCTCGCTAATATACAATAAGTATGACACATGGACATTATGGTGTTTTATGCTTGGATTCATTTTCCTTTCATGAATTATTGACAGAAATAACTCAAGTTAGTTAAATGCAGAGAAAAAAATTAACCCTTGCAGTGGGGCTACCCACTTCCTGCCTCCTGTCAGGCAACACATCATAGTGATGGGTCAAAAGGAATGTGACACAAATGCAGTGGGGCTAACCGCCACTGCAAGGGTTAACTGTTCATTTTAATTTTGACCCATCACTATAATGGGCTGCCTCACTGGCCAATGTGCAGGAGGCAGGAAGGGGAGGGCAAGCTTCTACAACACCAGGAAGTGCAGAGCTTTGCTAGCTTGTAAAAATGGCCAGGAATTAGAGTGTGATGCCCGGGTTTGTAGGCTGCTGTAGGTGTGTAGATGTGTAGACACATGTGTAGGTGCCTGTACATTACATCTGAATGGAATTTGTGTTTTTGTGACAGATTTGACTCAAGTGAATTGGGGAATAATTAGGTCACTACTTGCCTAAAAGGGATGGCTAAGCAGAATTACAAATCTTGACCATTACAAAAGTGTGTGTTTCAGCAGTATGGTTATCTGTTTTTTTGGAGTTCAGCTCACAAGAGAGGACACATTATATGACCAAAAGCTTGTGGATACCAGACCTATTTATTTGACATCCCATGGACATAAATTTGGCGCTCCCCCTTACGGCTTTAACAGCTTTCACTCTTTTTGGAAGGCTTTCTACAAGATTTTTAAGTGCGTCTGTGGGGATGTGCTGCCATCCAGTCAAAAGAGCATTTGTGAGGTCAGGTACTGAAGATGAACGAAAATACCTGGCTCGCAATCATCAGTTCAATTAATCCCAAAGGTATTCAGTTAGGTTGAGGTCAGGGCTACGTGGAGAACACTTGAGTTCCGCCACACCAAACTCATCAAACCATGTCTTGGCACAGTCATGAAGGAACAGAAAAGGGTCTTCACCTGTCACAGGTATAGAAGTGCACAATTGTCTCAAATGTCTTTGTATGCTGCAACATTAACAGTATTTTTCACTGGAAACACCTTTACACAATAATTTGGAGGGGTATCCACATACTTTTGCCCATATAGTGTATGTGTAAACTGCTAATACACTTTGGCATTTCTGTAAGTACATGTTTTAGCAAAAAATCTTGGTACAGATAAAGCATAACTGCTGTCCATTGTAAATAAATATTTTATATACAGCAACATTACACTTGTAAAGGTGCGATTTTGGTGGGATGTGAAAATGCAACTGCATTTTACACACTCTCCCAAATCGCAGGCAAATGCATAGAAAGTCTTAGTTTCACCAGAACAGTAATCAATTGTACAGTTTTAAGCATAACTTCCCTTCCTAAAGGTTTTGCAACATACTGTACAAACAGTTATAGTGATGTTTGACCAGCGATTTGGGGAATGGTAATATTTAAACCCACCTACATCGTACCTTAGTAAATCCAGCCCTTACAGCCCATACCGTTCTCACATGGTGCCATGTTACAGCGCTGCCAATTTGAAGGTCGGGGTCTCCAGGTACACATGTGATCTTGTACTGCTCTGCCAGTTCTGTGATGAACACACTCAACACGTCTAGACTGAAAACCATAATTGCCACAAGTGGCTGTGCAGAGGGTCCAAGGTGAAACTCTCCAGTGTACGCTGCAGAGGTCTGTCCGGCAGTTCTGTGTGTTGCCCGGCCTGGTTAACAGAAACATACAGCACTGTGATAACAAATTCAGACTTTAAAAAACATTCAATGGATATTCAAGTATTTACATGCTCTTAATAAACAGAAAATGAGCTTTTAAAAAACCCTCAATGACTTCTGTAGCTGAAACCACCATGGAGAAATTCATCCTCAAGTTTCACGGAAGAACAACTAAAGTAATTTAAGTCATACTGTGAGAAGCTCAGCTCACCATGCTTTCCCTTCCAGAGCACTTTGATTAGAAGGAAGGCTGTTATGACACGTCTGGGAAAGGGAGCAGGGTGAATTGAGCTGGCTTACACAATTACTTAAGAATAGTGTTTTCAGTTCACAAATTGAAAAATCTATTTTTGAGCTGTTTTCTTCGCCAGGCATTAATTGCATTAACACACATTCAGTAGCATTTACCACAACCATTATAATAATAAATATGTTTTAGGTATGTTAACTGTAAAAGAAACTGAAGTGGTGATAAAATACCAATTTGTCAGAAAATATGGTTTTCACGGGTTACGTGCTCCTTGCTCATTTCATAAGGACATCCCTAAACAATATTTATTTTTCATCTATTGAACAATTTTTATCATGAGAAAAAAAATGATGTATAAAAATAACAACAATATCTGCTAGTTATTACCATCGCTCTAAACATAGTTGAAAAATATGCTTATATAATACTTGTTATGGAGACATGAGACAGACAAAATACCAGTAGGGTACGATTATTTGAGTAACAGAAACTGAGAGCACACAGATATAGATGTTTCCAATGGTGCACTTGGTGCATTTGGTGAAGGAACAAGTAATATTCATCACTATTGCTATATTTGGACATCTTTCGCAGATTTATGAAGATTTAAAGACTTTACACCTGATTGATTTTTTTCACTGACATTTGTTTGAGTCACAATTTTTTTATTTTTTATTTTTTACTCTTTATATCTGATCATTGTTGTAGCTCGGCACATTTAGTTATTCATTTTTCACGTATGCACACTCACAGTGGGTGTACATTCCAGTGCCTTGTAGCTGTTAGCTTGCTTATTGGCGCAGTTCATTTTCTATATTTTATTATATGTTTCCAAACAAGCTGGCTACATATAGCTGAGGGTCAAACTCTCCTCAGAAGTAATCTGATCTACATCTGTGGTGCTCAGTGTCCACCCTGCAAGTTGCAAATTCTGATAAGAACAACTCACATAACTTGCAAAAAAATGGGAGGGAGGGGATCCCTCTGTGTATAACACAAAATAGAGATGAAAATACAAAATGGAACCCAGGAACCTAAATTTCCATCACATAATGCCATCGACAACACCAGCAGTGCTATAATGCCATGAGGGCTGAAGGCTATAGAAAGAATTACAGATAAACAGGAGGCATCTTCTGTGGACCCCCATGATGTATGTTACATAGAGAGGCTGGAGAAGTGGGCTGATATTGCAAATAGTAGACAGTTTACTGGCGGATCGGAGCGGGGAGGGGGGAATCCAGCCGTGACAGGATCGAGAGGTGAGCGAACGCCGTTATGTGTTCGCTCACCTCCCGATCTACTGAGCCGACCTGTGACAGTCTCATTGTCACAGGTCGGCTAGAACTATGAGGTGAGTGAAAAGCACTCACCTCATAGTTCTCCTTTTATGGCATAAAATACTAGGGTTGCCGCCTGTCCCGGATTCACCTGGACCGTCCGGATTTTAAATCCTTTATGAGCTGTGTCTGGATTTCGACTGGCCTGAAACCCGGAAACAGCACACACAGGACTTAAAACCCAGACTGTCCAGGACAGGTGGCAACCCTATAAAATACACATGTGCATTTATTATGTATTGTTCTAGGTCAGTGTTCTGCCAAGTTGTGAAGGAAGGATAAGGATGCCTGTCTTAAAAAAACAGGTTAGTAATGGTTAGCTCCCATATTCTATACTTTATAGGTTCCTGTGAATGTTTGCCTGTGATTTATTTTACAACATCAGAAGTGTAGGATGCATTTCTTTTGATAAACTCTAGAATATGGAACACAAAAATGCATAGAGAGAGAGGAAGGGAGCGAAAGCAAAAGGAATATAGTAGTATGCTATGTTTACAGGATTATGGAAAAAAAAGCAACAGAGCACTGGAGGTCCAAATTACCCTTATTGGCCATGTGGCCTTAAGAGCTTAAAGTCTGATTGCTAGGAATCTCATAGTATCTTTGCATCTTCCTGAGATGAAATTGAGCATGGTTATCCTATTCTGAGTTAATTTGAAGGTCAATTTAAAACAGATACACTAAAAAGCATGAAAACCATACACATATGTATAGCACATAGTATAATAGTGTATGTTTAGGGTGCATTTTATGGATACCACAGTACACACAATGTGTAAATATTTCCACCTTACTAAATAGTTTGCAGTGTCTTTTTAAAGACCAAAAATATAAATTTCTATTCAAGCATATTTCTAATATTAATTATGGTGACCCAACTTGATCATGTTAGCAATGTATTTAAATTTCCTAAATAGTAGAGTGCAGTGTGCCACAGGCCCCAACATATACTGTATACCGGTACACACAGGAATAGGCAAGTCTCTTAGCCTTGTTTCCACACTCCAGGTATGTTTTTTAGCTGCAAGACTTGTATAAAGACCACTTTTGACCAGACTTCTCTGGGCTGTAAGTGGGTATACCAGTGTCCCTGGTTCTGCCAGATGTGAGCCGGTAGTGCCACTGGACAGCTTCTGATTGTGAAGGGACGTCAGCATGGTGTGTCTTTTGTCTGCTGAACCAAGTTTCTTTGGCTGACCACTGTGTTTTTGATCCTGATTGCTGCCTGTTTTTTATGTTTTGTTTTTTGAAAAAACAGCTTTGAAAGCACATCTGGAAGCACATGTCTTCCTTTAAAGTTCTGAGTGTTAGAGATCACGTTAATGCAGTAAGACCACCCTGTATCATATTGCTGTGCTCATTCTTGCCATTGTGTAAGTTTTTTTCAGCAACTTAAAAATGGCTTTACCTCACCCAGTTGTATTCCTCCTACACATCTGATTCTGTTTGATTTAATGGTTGTATTGTAACCTACATGTTATCTTCTTGCTCATTAGCACCTGTTTTGTATAATTGCTTCATCATGCACTAGGCCATATGCCCGGAAATCCCTAAATTTGTGCAAGTGAAGTATATCTTTGAGAAATAATGCTGTTGTAAAGCCAAAGAGTAGACACACTAAATAACTAAATATGGATTTTATTTTTTTACATTTTTTTTTCTTTATTTCATTATTTTTTAAAAAACATAAACATCCTCACTTTCCATAGGCTACTTCTGCCGTCAGTCAAACTGTTGGGTGGAGAGGAGGGGGGCCTGGCCTGCCGCAGGGCTGTGTGTGTTTATGCACGCATACAGCCACTTGCGGTCACGGCCGGCAACGAACAAGCACTGGTGCCTCCACAGCTGTAGCTTAGCTGCTGGTGGCACCTCTGCAGGGGGCACTGGGAAGACAGCCTCCCTAAAGCTTTAATATCATTTTAAAACAATTAAGGTCATTCATGGAAAAACTACCGTATATGAAATCTTTTATTTACAAGGGAGAGGACACCTGCTCTGTTGGCAAAAAGCTAAACAAAACACTTTCTGTAGCTGCTTCACAGACCTGCATAAGCATTTGATCACATATAAAAATATGATGTATAAGTGGTATTTTATTACCTTGGCAGAGTCTGACATTGTTCTGGAGATACAGTTGTTCCTTCCCGGGTTTGACAGTACACTTGTCTATGCTGTACAGCTGTGCGTAGTCCTACGCATGGCCCATGACACTGAACAAAGATATACAAAGCCTCATTAGATAACAGTGTATATTTAAAGACATTAAACTGCACCTGCAGTCTTGGATAAAACAATAGGCCCTTTCGTATGTAGCTGTTATACAGAGGTTTCATTGCAGAAGACTTTGGTACTATTTCCAAAAACACTAAACAGTGGCGGAACTACCGCCATAGTGACCCAGGCGGCCCGGGGCACAGGGGGGCCAGGTCAGCTGAGCCCGGTCTCTTTAAAGTTCTATATTTACAGTAAATGCATATTTTAAGTTATCACAGCAATGTTACTTTTAAAGTCATCTCTTTCTTGATTTTCTTATTTAAAAAAAAAATACAGAGATTTATATATTAGTCATATAAGAGGGTGGCTCCATGCAAAGGCTCCATGGCTCAGTGCCATTACTGCATCTCTATCTTAACAACTGGTAAGATATCAGCACACACAGGAATGCATTGTTTGACTGAGTCAAAGCACAACTATTGTGTAGCACTACGACACAAGAAGCAGAGCCTGAGTTTGAAATAAACAAATATGGCTGCACCAGTGTAAATATGTAATCACAAATAATAAACCGATACCAGCTTTTTACAAAAAATATAGGAAGGAATTTATCAAAATTGGTGCAGACAAAATCTGGAGTAGCTGTGCATAGTAACCAATCAGCTTATCTCTTTAGTTCAGTTAAGCTTTCAAAATGAAAGATAGAAGCAGATTGGTTACTATGGGCAACTGCTCCAGGTCTTGTCTGCTCCAGTGTTGATACATTCCCCTCATAGTATATCTGAAGCTAAAGGATTTTTGGATAGACTAGGGAATGGTTAAAACCCCTCTCATGTTTAATTTTTGCCATCTGTATGCTATTAGGGAGATTTGCCTTCACTGTCCTGTTGACACAACAAAAAGACGAGAGGAAATCTCCACAAGTAGAAGGAAATTCCCTTTGAGACAACTGTCACTGGAACAAATGTCCCCATTGTAGGATCTCTCCTCTTCTTCTGTTCTAGCTTAACATTTTGGGTTTTCCCTCACTTTCAGTTCCAGTGATAGTAGTCACCATGACAAATATATGGTAACAAAAGCTGACAAGGGTTCTAACCCCTCACCACTCTACCAAAAATAAAAAGTTTTCACTTTAAATACGCTTTAAAATATTTTGGTATGAATATTTATTTTAGGCTCATCTCTTTTTGTATATCTAAAGGATGCATTAAAAAGACTGTACATTCCCTTGCAGCAGTGTTTCTCCAATCTGTACTGTGAATGTGTATGATGCAACTAACTAGGAATGTAACCCAGAGGTCTGCTCCTGTCCATTCAATGATTGTGATAATTCCCCAGCTAATATCCCAATCCAATATCAAGACTGTTTTGTGGAGTGAACTGAGTTTAAGTGAAATAAAATTAGAAAAATATGTGTTAGTACCAGTAGCATGTTTTATGTATTTTATATTAAAAGCCAAAATTATAATATCAGGAGATACGACTGAGTATTTTTTCATTTTTAGAAGTTCCTGTTGAGTATCAGGCAACTGCTTATAAGAGTATTCACCTTAGAGATACAGAGCAAACTTTTACAGGGTTATTCACAAAAGGGTGAAGAGTTTGGAGAAGGCAGGAGAAATTTCAAATCTAGGACAACATAGCTGATCTGGAAAAATTCTCCAATTCAGCTCACTTTCCAGTTCAGCTATGTTGTCCTTGATTGTCCACTTCTCTTGCCTCTCCCAACTCTTTTGTGAATAGCTCTGCCCATATACTGAGTTATCCTCAGTGGTGTATTCTGGTTTGGGGCTGCCCTAGGCAAGGCAAAACTCGGGCGCCCCCCCCCACTAAATTTCCCCCCCCTTCCTGTTTAATAAATTTTGCATAACCTGTCAGATGCTGGATACAGTGCACACGCTGTATCCAGCTTTTGACATTAACGTAGCAGGAAGCTGTGGTCTCATGGTCTCAGGGGGGCTGTGCAAGATCTGTGGTGGGCTCTGCAGGGTCTTAGGGGGGCTTTGCAGGATCTGTGGTGAGCTCTGCGAAGTCTATAGTGGGCAGAGCCCCCTACATATCCTGCAAAGCCCCCCACAGATCCTGCAGAGACCCCCTAAAACCCTGCAGTCTGCCGGATCTCACGGGGGTTGTGCAGGATCTGTGATGGGCTTTGCAGGCTGCAGAGCCCCCTATGGATCCTGCAAAGCCCACCACAGATCCTGCAAAACCCCCCTGAGACCCGGCAAAGCTCCCCAAAGATACTGCAGAGACCCCCTGAGACCCTGCAGTCTGCCGTATCTCAGGGGGGCTGTGCAGGCTGCAAAGCCCCCTACGGATCTTGCAAAGCCCCCCACAGATCCTGAAAAGCCCCCCACAGATCCTGAAAAGCCCCCCACAGATCCTGCAGTCTGCAGGATCTCAAGGGGCTGGGCAGGATTTGTGGTGGGCTGTGCAGAATCTATGCTGGGCCCTCCCAGCACAGTCGTCCTCCTACCTGGCATGGGAAACCCAGCCTCCTCCGCTGCCTCAGCGTCCAATCGTCGTAGCTTCGCCGCCCGACTAAAGCCTCGGCGACGCCTTCCGCTTCCACCAGTGGAGTCTCCTCCATTGCAGTCTTCGGCCTCGCCTCCTCCGTCTTCACCCCGCCTCCTCCGTCTTCACCCGCCTCTTCCATCTACGTCCACATCTCCTCTGTCTCCGCCCCCTGCCTGTTGCCGCTCCGCCCCTCGTCTCCTCCTGCTCCGCCGCCCGCTGCTTCTTCCCCGTTCACATTAGGCAGCCAGGCTGCCGGTTTCTGTGCAACCCGTCTGCCTAAATGTTTTTTGGGGGCGGCATTTTTGCCGCCTCCCTGGAATCTGCCGCCCAAGGCAAACGCCTTGTTTGCCTCGTGGCAGATATGCCCCTGGTTATCCTGCATTAAAAAAGAGGTAATTGTATAATTGTAATATCTTTGCAAGACCAAACAACTAACATTTGCACATAACACATATAGGATTATTCAAAAAAGGGTGAAGAGTTTGTAAAAGTTAACAATATAGGCCAGAATGGCTGATTTTAAAAAATTCACCAATTCAGCTCACTTTCCAGTCCAGCTATTTTGTCCTAGATTGTTCACTTCTCCTGCCTTCCCCAAACTCTGCACCCTTTTGTGAATAACCCTGATAAATATCAAGCAGCCCTTATATCATGCCACCCCCATCAGAATATAATTGTATAATATGAACTCAGACATCCCAACCTGCAAAACCTTATTTCAGGGAGGTGCCCTTCTCATTTCAGGGAGGTGCCCTTCTCATTTCAGGGAGGTACCTTCTCTGTTTTTTTTTTTATTTTGACAGCGGCCGTCGGCCACCGTCAGAATAAAAAAAACCTAAATAGCAGGGGAATGAATAGCTAGGCTGCTATTGGTTATTTCAAATTGCAATAGCCAATAGCAGGCTCGCTCTTGTACCCACCCACTGCTGCTGTCAATCAGCAGAGGAGCATCTCAGGTCCACCTCTGCTGATTTACAGCAGCAGCATATAATGTTAATAATCACAAGAAAATACAAATAAAATAAAAACATTAATTAATAATAACATAAAAAAATAATATAATAACAATAAAATGCTATGATATCTACTAAATATATATAAATAAATAGATGGAAAATGTTGTGCTTCAAAAATTGAGGAGCTCTGGTCTATTTCCTGAGTGTGCTTTACTCTCCTACTCTCCTCCTATGATAATAGCTAATGGCAAAATCAATTTGGCACCCTGAAGTCCTAATGTTTTTTTAAACCAATGTGGTGGTTCAGGGTTAGGTCGCTTTCAATGGTCCATTTCCACTCAAGTTGCTATAGTTAGCACTGAAACTGTACCTTCATAAAAATAAATGGTCTCATTAAAAGGTCCTCACCTGCCCCCATGAAGATGTGGTCCACTCCACACACAGCTGTCTACTACAACTTTGACTGTCAACAGGACGTTTTGCATACAAGGTGCAGATATCATTTGACACTGGTATAGAGAGCCCTGTTCCTGTTAGCTTTTGGCAAGTCACTCGGCGGGTCTGTGCTCCTCCTCCACAGCTCTGTGAACATGCTGACCAGGAGGTTACCATCCATCTAAATGAAAGAAGCAAAAACAAGGTTCAGAGGAACTTCTATTATAATTATTATAATTAAAGATAATATTTTTTTATTTTAAACAAATATTAAAGCCATGTGACCAGTTTACAGATACAAATACAGTTCATTGTTAATTTCAAGCTTTTACTCAGTTTGGCAATTTAAGGATACTTTAGGGTAAACAATTCCTAATTTAGGACATACAATTGCATATGGCTTCACAGCTGGAAAAGGAGATATGTAACTCCAATGACAGGACACTGCCTCCTGGTTTTTCTTGTAGCTGATAAGCAAGCCTGGTGACTACCTGACAGCCCTGGGAAACCCCAATGTGGGATATAATATAAAAAAAAAGTGTTTGGGTAGACAAAAAATGCTTTGGTTTAACAATCTGCAGAGATTTACACAACAAGGTGAAAATTTTCTTGTGCTGATTACCTGGCAATGGCAACATGAATTTAAAAGTGCTGTATTTTATTTTTCATATATTTATATATTTATTTATTTTATGAATTCAATTTTTATTTTTTCATGTCATTTATATTTTTCTCAACATTACATGATGACCAACCTGACCAGCAAAATGACAATGGAAGCGTTGGGACAAGCTATAACACTGCCAGAGGTGCTTAAAGCAGACTATGCACGGTTTGCTTATAATGTCTGGGCCCCCTTCCCCCTGTAAAATGTGCCTGCTGATAGCATGTTCAAAATGTACCTCAAAAGTTCAAAAAGTAGAGTTACATTATAGTTAGATTACCGTATTTTTCTGTGTATAAGACGCTACTTTTTCATTAAAATGTTTACCTAAAAATAGAGGGGCATCTTATACACGGGGGCCGAGATGAGAACCGAGGTTCCAAAAGTGCCGATACCACTGCAAACTACCGTAGCCTCACGAGTGAAACGGATTGCAGAGACAAGCATAAGTTTTTCTCCAATCATAAATCTTTTGTACCTGAGGTCAGCTTTCTCCCCAGCAACAGCTGACGTCAGTTACAAAAGATTTATGATTGGAGGAAAACTGTTATCTTGTCTCTGTAATCCGATCATAAATCTTTTGTACCTGACGTCAGCCGGTCCTCGGGAGAGCGTGTAGCCAGTGCCCGGAGCTGTAATGTCGGAGCATGATGTGATTGAGGTAAGTGTAATGCATTATACCATTTAAAATATTAATTTCGGAAATTTTGGGTAAGAAAAGTTGGGGGCGTCTTATACATAGGGGCGTCTTATAGACGGAAAAATACGGTATATACTTACCTTACCCCCCATCTTCTGCATTGCTGGGCATGACTTCACTATCCTTCCAGGGATATTGCAGCCCATTGCAAAAACAACATGTGAGATTTGGGCTGCTCTGTATCCCCCAGGATCTTGATAAAAGGAGCATGACAACACCCCTGCCTAGGTGCTGTGAGCGGAAGACTGGGGGCAAGGTAAGTGAATAATAAAAAATGTTTCTTTATAGGTACATTTTTGGATATACTAGCCTATTATTTTTAAAGAGGAGGGGGACAGAATATGGTAAGGGGAGCTTGCATTTTACTACAAGGTCCGTTTTACGCAGTTGCAGTAAAAAAATTGAAGCGTAACCATTCAAAACATCTTGGCAAAGTTATAGTTTGTTTTAATCCCTGTCATTGTTATACACAGTATAATAAATAATCTGAAATACAAAAAAAAGAATGAATGTACTGAAACCTATCTTTATAAGTATTAACAGTTTTAAAAATAAAATATTTTAGTGATAGTGGTCCTTGAAGAGAAAAATACTGCCCTCAATGGACTGAGCATCATTCCATGATTTTAGAGCTAACACCCTATAGCTGCACAGCTGTAGCAACTACAGTTGAAAAGTGCATAGAGGAGGAATGTACATTTTGACAGATCTACAAATACAGCTTGGAACTGGAGGGAAAATGCAAACGTAGAATACTCACTGAAGAGTTTTGCCCTGTTCAATCCCAGAGGCTACTTTCTTTCTTTTATATAATTAGCCACAATGCTTCCTCCATAGAGTTTGTGTATTTCCAGCCAAGACCATTGTTCAGGTTGAAATGAACAGAGGATGTAAAATACTTTTTGAGACCATGTCATTTTCCCATACATTTTACTTCAATGCTGGCAAAGTAATTTTTCCTTGGAGGGGTAACATCACACGTAGTGTTATGGTTGAACTGAAGTTCAGTAATAATAAGATGTGCAGTACAAGAGCAGTCAGTTAAAGGATTTTAGTATGAACTCTATTTTTACTTCTTAACTCTTTCTGATTTAATATGGATACATTTACAGTATCTCTGTTTATATTGTTTATTCTAAATGAGGGGTTTTTAAGTCTTCACATACTGTATTTATTTTCTCACAGTTTTGCCTATGTTTCTCTTTTTTCTAAATTGATAAAATAAATTTTTACAGTGTTTTGTAGAATATCACAAGAACTATAAAGTATTACACACCTAAAGTCAGTTTTGGGCCCCGTTCACACCTAGGCGGCATTGTTTTTGCACATTGTACGCGTGGGTTCAGTGTGCGGTTATAGGCACATTTTTACACACAATTTGACTGGCAGCTTAAGAAACATTGCTGTCAATGGAGAAACTTTGATTGAAAATCATGGGATTTTGTTTGTTGGGTGTTTATAAGTGCTTTTCCTACTGCTTAAAAATGCCTAGGTGTGAACCAGGCCCAAGACAAGAACTGACAAACCACCACTCATTTTATTTATTGCTCAGCACAATCAGATATTAACCCCTTAGTGACACAACTTCAGAATTTTTTTTTATTTCCATGGGACAGTTTCACAGTTTTGGCAATAATAATGTGTACAATTAGTGTAGCTAACAGAAAGTAATTAATAATAAATTATTTTATTTGTCCATATTTATAGGGTATATCTTATGTCCGGGATTTCAGTTTATTTTGGGAGTTATAGGTCACAAAATACATGAGTGAAATACAATTTTAGTTTGGAATAATTTTAGAATGTGTTATGTTTATCTCCTATCTTTAATAGACTCCGTGGCACTATATTTTCTTATAATTGTTTTATTAAACATAATTTTTTTAAATATTTTTTGAAACGTTTAAAATTTTTAAAACTTTATTTATTTTTAAATGTTATTATTTTCTTAAAACTAAGGGGCACTAAGGGATAATTTTTTTATTTTTTTCATGGGTTTGATACTAAGTATCTTCGAGAAGAATACAGTATTCTCCACAGAGCTACTTTCTATCAGTTTGTAACACGCTGAGCCGGCTCACAGCTCCACAACTCAGTGAGCTGCAAGACGGCTTTCACTGTGATTACAGGGCTGGGACCACCTAATCTGCCTTTAGGGACCAGCGCTCATTGTACCGCATAACAGGATTATTCTGTCACCGGCCGTTAGTGAACTGAAAGACCATGATGGAATAATCTCATCATCGGTCGGGAAGGGGTTACTACCACAGCAGTGTTATGAACAAGTACCCTGATCTGAGTAAAAACTTTTCTGTCCCATAATTTAATTATTTTCTAGATTTCTGGGTCTGTAAATAATGATGGTCAAATCTGCCTGGGCTCGGTTTGCCAAGGGTTTGGTGAATCGTGTTAAAAATTCGGTTAAACTGAGCTTAGAGGCAAATCTCATTGAAGTCTATTTGTTGCGAGTGACATAGCAACATATACTGATGTGCCATACTTTGATACTGTAAGATGTTCCCACTAGTGTTACCTTTTGACATTCCAGTGAGTGTCCAGATGCAGTCGTCCACTGGTAATCACAGCCTGTGATATTACATGCAAACGGCCTGCGAACAGCTGTGGGCGGTGGCACCTATCATTGTATTGTAAAGCAGATTGCACGAGTCTCATGGAGGAATTTGTGAAACTCATGCGATTGGCACCACACTCAAGTGTGAATGAGGCCTAAGGGTTTTTTAATGTATTATTGTTATTTATATAGAGCCAACAATTTACGCAGCATTTTCCCACAGTTAAATGTTAATGTTTGAAATTCTTGTGTAAAATGCACAATATATTAAAGACCTATATAGGTCTTTGCTGGACCATGGGGTTTTGTTTAATTGTTAAATATTTTTAAGCTGTGTGTGCTTTTTTCTAACTAACTGTCAGATTAATGTGGATGGTGTGTAGTACACCCTTAACAGTTCACTGGAGTCATGAGTGGCATATGACCGCAAATGCCAGGAGCACTATTTGGGCCACTGGGTGGTTCATAAATGCCTGATGCCTAACAGCAGATTTAAGAGGAAGGATCTCTTTTTGCACCTCATTCTTGAAGCACCTGTCCAGTACTGAAAGGCACTCAGGCAGGTATCAGCAAGTCAGGAGACCCACACAATCTCAGTCCTCCAGCCAAAATGTAACATTTGCCTTAAAAATATTTCAAGGTGTACTTTATGATAATAACTTGAAATATATAACCACTAAAAATACAATACAGTTTCCTTTTAAAGCTCTATATGTGTTGCCTGCCCTAATGGTGATGACCAGCATCACCTGCCAAAACCAGAGAGTACTGTGAAACTGCTCCCCCTTGCCAATCCACCACTGGCAGGAATTCAGAACACAGAGAAAGGAAAAAACGCCCTTCTATGCTTCGTCAAATCCTTCACTGAAGATGAATTTCCTTTCAGAGCTACTCATTTCCTATGTGTTGGCTTAATTCAGTTACCAAATACACATAGAATAAGATAGAAAAATAAATAAGTGTGCAATGAATATCAATATTGTAGAGGCTGTTGGGTTTAGATGTCCATCTCATCACAGCAGGTGATGAAAATGTGAATAAGTAAGTTCCAGCACATCTTGGAGCTGGCAACAGTTTCTATCATACAAGCTGTGAGCGTTATCCAGGTCCTTGAGAAGCATGGTTTATTTATTTTTTTCTTTAACAACTGAAAGTTGGGTCAAGCCAGGACATCATCACATTGACTCTTTCACCCCTGCTTATCATAAACCCCCTTTCAATAAACTAATATAAAATACTCAATGTTGATCTCAAGAGATGCTAATCTAATAGTGTAACCCTTTGCTTTGATGCACAGGACAGCATGTATTGCAGAAGAGCATTTATGATCAACAGGAGTAATATATCAATATGTCATATGTGGTTTTTCTGACACCCCTCATCACATACACTGCAGGGTCACTGGCAAGAGAATCGACCTCCTGGCTTTTAATATACCATTTGTGGTTTACACCCATTATTTGGAGGCCCATAGTAAGCTGGAATCAACATCTGTAGCTTGTTGTATGAAAACATTCCAGCTCGTACAAAACAGAAAGTGCTGTTGTACCTCAGAAACAGGATAAAGACACATACATCATGTATGTTGAAATGTTCCTGTCAGCACATCAGATTTCTGATACCGATGACAATGGCCGGCATAGTTTAGGTTTTATATTAAATACATATAGGAACAGGCTTGGATGGGAGAAAAATGCAAGAAATAGAAACAAAAATTCAGATGATATTTTCATAGCACTTGATATGTTAAGAAATCAAATGACTCATTGAAGAACCAAGACAAGCTTACATAACCTTTGGCAAAGCATGCTGGGAAATGAAGTTCAACAACAGTTCAATGGTCACTTAATCCCTAGCTATAATAACAGTCAACTGCCTTTTTGACAGAAAAACTAACATTTTATCTTAACAGATGTTCTGTGCAATCCTTGGGTTAAGAATGTACAAAAAGAGTAGTGTGATAGTTCACAAGATGTCTCAAAACATTTCTAGTATTGTACAAAAGGTGCTTAAAGCAAACCATTCAGTGTTATTCCTATATTTCATTTTGACAGGGGGGCATTTTCCTTAGACATGTGTGGACAAAGGGCTCATAAATTGATTTTACTGCATTAAGTATCATGAGTGTATGTAAACCCTAACAATAAACTTTTTTGTTTTGCCATCTTATGTTTTTTTTCTGAAATGTAACATTGAAAGCATTATGTTATACCTGTTCAATATGTGCAAAATAAAACCTGTCAGAAATCCAGGGCTGCCCTGGGTGCTCTGCACTCTGCAGTCTTATCTCAAACATTGTTTTAGGCCTGCCTAGTTCTGCTCTGTGAGCTACCAAGAGGAGGAGGTCGTTCTAACACATTTCCTGTCCAATGGTGATAACACTGCTGCTCCATAGATACAGTAGGGTAAGTGAGTGTTATTGCCCTAGGACATAAAGTGTGTTACTGGCAGGACTAGGCAATGACTAGTAATAATGTTTGTTGAGGGATTTAGATACACTTTAACTGAATGCATAAATAAAACCTAAAGGCCCTTTATAGAAAAAACATATTATATTTTGATAACTGTGTGTGGTAATTTAGTATATTTGCATTTTTGACATGTTACTCCAACTTTACATGCGGACCAAGCTACCCAGCAAAGGTAACAGTTACAGGGGTTGGGATAAACCATATACATGGTTAAAGGTTCCCCCCCCCCCCAAAAAAAAAATAAACACTCCCCCCCCCCAAAAAAAAAAATACTGCTTAAAGTGTATGTCTGGATCAATATAAAAACATATCATATTATAACATATTAACTGCAGATGTTTTTTTATTTTTAATTACCCAAACACACACTTTAAAAAGTGTTAGCTTTCATTTGTTTGACGCTGACCTAAAAGCCATTTAGAACAACATGTCCATCAAAGACTACCCTGTCCACAAAGTGAGAATATTCCAATGATTTGACAGCAAAATATTGTCATCCTATTGCAGGAAGTGTAAAATCAATTGTTCTACAGGCAGCGTAAATGAAGAATGAAATAAGACTCCCTTCCTGCACATCTCCAAATGTTTTCTCTTTCATACAGTAGGAACAGTCCCTCTTATGGATACAAATGCTTATTTCCTCAAAAATTCTCTCTTGTAGGTCTGATGTATAGCTTTGTATAACTATGTGCTACAAATCTTAAAAAAATATTAACTGTATCTAAGATTTCTCAGTATAAATGTTGGTAACAATACAACAGCAGTGCAGACCACATGGATCTCGAGAAGTTCATTTCCTAAGTAACAACCAAGATCTAGAATATCTCTTCAATCAGCCACATGAAACCGAGGTCCATAAAAATCCAACTTTATTGTTGTAAATACCAGGCAAAGTCCAAAATACAAGTTTCACCACCTGGGCTTAATCATAGAGGTCACATGTGCGACCTGGCCCTGGCATTCCGCCACTTGGGGGGCAGAAAGGAAGTAGGGGCCCAGATCCCAGTAACCACCGATGCGACTTTGTGTTGCCTGATTGCCAATTTTGACCTTCGCAAGAGTCTGTAAATGCTTGTAAACATGGCATAGGTATACTATTTTTTTTAAAATATAGGTACTGAATTGCTTCCTATGTTTCAACCTGAGAGAGATGGCATGCATCTCCTACCTGTAATGATGTGCTTCCATCAATAAGTACAATTGTGTGAGATTATGGTGGACAAGCATCATATCAGGCTTCCAACTCTAAGGCCTCAGGCCTGGTTCACACCTGGGCGTTTTGTAGCACGTTCGAACGCTCTGTGAAACGCTCAAACACCGATATTCCATTATTTCCTATGGGTATGGTTCACACCTGGGCGTATTACAGGCCGTATGAACGCGCTACAAAACGTCCTACGCCCAAAGAAGTACAGGTGCTTCTTTGGGGCGTTTTTGACGCGCGTTTCCATTGGGATACAGCCAAGTGGCCCTTGGAAATGCGCGTTTGTTGCACGTTTTTTTAACCGCAAATCACGGTAAAAACACGCGTCACGAAACGCGCGACAAACGCGCATATTCGATACGCCTAGGTGTGAACTCAGCCTCAGGTACAGCAGGATGGAAAGTCTCCTGGTCAAACTATAGCCCAGGCTACCTCACATACATATTTAGTCTGCAGATCACTGCCAGGTATTTAAAAAACACATGGCTGCAGTTGGGCTTCCTAAACCCAATACCTAAATTTCATATAAGCTTTAACATGTTGAGATCATTTTAAAATACATTTTAAATCTGCAGCTTGCATTGAATGAATACCTGGTTATCCTGTCATGAAGCTCCTTTTTCAAGCACTTCCTGTTATGGGGTGACAACTGTCTGGCAAATGTACTTCTGCATTACCACCCTTTCATATGTGCCTTGAAGGTGACTACAGTACACATTGGGTTTGATTTACTAAAGACATAGATGTTCACTTTGGAAAGGGAATTAACATTTAGCTTAGTGAAGGTAAAGCTAAGTGAAAATTTACTTTGCAAAGAATACCTACTTGTGTACAAAGAAAATTAAAATAAAATAAAAAAACAACAGGATTTTTGTTTACACAATTGGATGCTTTAAGTCAGCACAGCCCAACCTCACTCACTAAGCTAAGTAACATTCACTTTGCAAAGTGAGCAGTCTATACACCTTTAGTAAATCAACCACATTGTGCAAGCATTGTCCATCACTGTCACTATCAGGAAGCCAGTTTAGATCTATAATGTGCAGTTTATGTTGAAGTGAGTGCATGTAGACAGGAAGTGGCTGAAATTGGGCTTCAGCAAATACAAAATAATATAAATATTTGTATTTTATATTTGCTATATTTGATGTAGTATCAGTTTTAATTGCTTTTGCATCGTGCATTGTTTCTGTTATCCATGTACTGTTAAATGAACTTAGGAATTCAGGTTACCATAAAAATGACCATGAATATAATGAATACCTTGGTGGACAGTCTCGTCTGTTACAGGCAACAGGTTTGATGGATGGTCTAGACTTATCCAGGCAGTAAGATGTATTAACTTCTTGCTTGTCGAGGACACATTTCAGCTGCGGTTGTTGAATTCCTCTGTTGCCACACGATGCTGTACATGGCACCAGAACAGTCACCGACCACTGATAATCTGATGATCTTGCTGTAATTAGAGAAAAAAAAAACTATAGTACAAAAGACTTCTATTTTGTGTTTGTATGTGATGAAGGAGTGGCTACTACCTCCACTGACGCCATCCTTATTTACACTATAAATCTTTGCAGTGTATTTAACCCAACACACCTGCACTGTAGGATGTCGCAAAGCATGTCAATAAATGGTGGTGTATATGTTAACAAGGAAAAAAAAAAAAGTCCATGATTTTGTTTTGATGCACCACACAAATCCAAATGGGCCCTCAAACCTTTGTTCTTCTGAGAATTTATGTGACATAAAATTTTGTGTGATTGATTATTTTCAGTGGAGAAAATATGGGGAAAAGCAACTTACCTCAAAGTAGCCTCATTGTTTTTATTGGCTATTTGCATTTTTTTGTGTGTGCTGGTTTTTACACAATTTATCTACCGTTTGCCATTTATTTAAACTTAAATTGACACTGAACTCAGGAGTTAAATCTTCAAAATGCATTCAAGTACCTTAACTGTTAACAAAAATGTATCTTATTTGTGTATCACTCTGCTGTGGATCCTCAAATCATCTCTGAATTGGTGCTGACACTGTCCTTCCTTCTAGAGGGTGGCTACATTTGTCCCCATGATTCCTGTGTGTTGTAAAGTAGTCACCGCTCCGAACTCACTCCTGTGATGGACTACAATCTCAATACAAATTAGTAAACTAAACGTGAGATTGTAGTCCATCACGGGGGTGAGCTTGAAGTGGTGATTACATTACAACGTACACAGTGACAATGGGGAACAAAAGTAGTCCTGCCTGGCCCAGTGTAAGTATGCATATACCATATCTGATCGGCCCATTGTGATCCTGTAAAGCACTGTAGTAGCTGGGGCTTCTACAATGCTGACAGCAATCTTCTACAGTAGGTCTTGTATGGTGTTGTACAGAGAGACTTCCCCTCTACTTTGAAAACACAGGGGGTCACTCCCTCAGCACAGTGGTCATTCAGGGAACTACTAGTATTTTTTATCTATGAATACAAGACATTCTCTGATTGGACAAGGGGGACATCACCACCCCTCATCCAGTCAGAGAACACCCTGTGTTCTTAAAATATACTGCTTGGAGGCAACTGCGCCAATCAACAACCCAAAAGTGATATCTCTATTTTGCATATTCTGATTGTTTAAATACCCATTGGATTGTCTATATCTTTTAAGGACTCATGTGATCCTGTACAATCACTCTTGCACTTCATACAATTCTCCTATGCTGCAGGATGCTCAAAACTAGACTAGACTATGCTCACTGGACTATGAAAGAGCATAACCACACTGGTTATGTGTTCGCTTTTATTTTCTCTTGATGGCTGCCTAGACACCATGCAACTATACATTTAATAATGCTTATTTGAGTATATAGCTGGAGAAAGGGTGATTTTCATATTTGCCTTGAACTTTATTTTAACATGTTCATTGTTTTTATGCTAGGGCTTCTGTAAACTACACACATTTTGTGGATGTCATTCTTTGTAAGAATGGCATCCAAAATGTACAGACAGAAGGCACAAGGTGAAGACCTTGTTTTGAGCCCCTTTAAGAGGATGCCATAAGATTTTTACATATTCTCATGGTAGAACCACCCCTGTGTGAAAGGGAGGACTCTTGATTAAAGCATTCCTTACATTTTGTAAAGGTTAGTAAAGCAGCATGTCATTGCAGGCACCTTCGGGTACCTGCACACAGGGCCGCCCATAGAGTGGTACAGGCAGTACTTCCATGCTGGGTCATCGGGTTTGTAGGGGGGCCTGGACCAGGCAGTGCCTGCCTGTAAGTGGCCCCAGTGCAGCATCACTCATGGGCATTGGCAGGGCCAGGCACCCAGACAGGCTGAATTCTGTAATAAGCTGGGCTGTACTTTACCTATTCCACACTGCTCCATTCTGTATGCCATGCTGTACTTTACCTATTCCACACCACCCCTTACTTCACATGAGGGCTGTATTTTATCTATTCTACAATACCCAATTTTGTACACACTGGAATGTACTTCTACACCACCCCAGATGGAACAAGCTAAGATGCACTTAACCTATTTCAGACCACCCCATTCTTTATATGCTTGGCTCTATCTTACCTATTCCATACCATGTCACTTCGTATGCTATGCTACATGTTCACAATTCCAAACCACCACATTCTGCAATCTGTGCTGTACACTTCCTATTCCTCACCTCCTCATTTGGTACATTCCATTGCAGGACCTCTAATCCCTACTGCCTCATTCTGTACACCATACTGTACATTCCTTATTCTACACTGCCCCATTCTGTACACCATACTGTACATTCCCTATTCCCCGCTGCCCTATTCTTTATGCCATACTGTACATTTCCTATTCCACACCATACTATTCTGCATGCTGAACTGTAGGTTCCCTGTTCTACCTGGTTGCTAAATGCTTCCTATCTATGTGTATATATAAAATTGATCCTTTGTTCTGAGATTTATGTGTGGATACGAGACTGTCAATATAAGTAAAGAATATTTTGTGGATACAAGGAATGCGGCATACGTGTGCAGTGCATATAGCGAGTAGACTCAGACTCTATTTATCCATTCCCCTTTAAGCCACTTCCATAGTTTGCAGTGGCACATCATGCGTGCTTCATCTTAATTGTTTTTCTTGCTGTGCTCCTTTGTACTCTGTGGGGGAGGGGTTGTCCTGTCAGGTATGCTGTAGGAGGCCCCATGATTTCTAATGACAACCCTAACTGCATATCTCCAGGCCCAAAGCTTTAGGTGCTCTGGTATGGTTGGGAGCTTGGCCCCCACCCCCTCCTGCACCTCACAATAAGACCTGGTTCACATCTGAGCGTTCCTGGGCAACGCGTCACGGCAAACAGGTCTCTGCACCTTTTTCCTGGCGCGTTTGCACATGCGAAAAACCGCATGATTTGTGGGCCACGTTTGGTGTGCCATAAGGAATACATGGCACTGCACGTGCGTTTCACATTTGTGCGCGATTACACAAACGCGCAGCAATTGCTTGCGAAAATGGGCAGATTGCCCCGCATTCTCAGAATGCTCAGATGTGAACCTGGCCTTATATACTTACGATAGGCAGCCTTAATGGCCTATAGTGAGATGCTAGAGGTGACAGGGGGTTGTGCCAGACTCTGAAACACAGGAGCTGGTTGAAATTTGAACACAAAAGAGTCCCCATTTCTGAGCATTTCTTCAATAGGAAAGTTAAATTGATGTAATGACATGCCACTGCTTTACTAGCTTTTAGATATTAGCGTCTCTTTAAACAAAAAAAGAGAGAAATACAAAATAAAACACAGAATAAAAGGATGTCCAGAATGTAAATAAATATGAAGAAATCTAGTTACCTCGAATTGACAGAAAAGCTTTTTGCACATGTGATTCAGAAGGATTGTTTACAACACAACGGTATTCCCCTAGATGATCTTTACTTATATTAGTTAGTCTTAGAATCTGTCCACCTTCCACAAATTCATACGATGGCCGTGCTCCATTATTCAGTGGCTGATTTCCATGAAACCAAGAAATGCTTTGCATAGATTCTCCTTTCACAGGGCATCCTGTTATACAAATCAAAGACATACAGTCAGTAAAAGATACATTTCATGATAAACAATTACAGATACCCAATATAGAAGAGTGATGAGCACTGATGGGACCGAGGATTGGATGAGTATTTCTTCTTTATTTTTGCCCCCTAGGCAAAAGGAGCATTTAGCACTTTCAGTGTAGAGGTAGCCCAACTGCAAGGGTTAATTTTTCAATATATTGGAGTGCTTCTTTAAACTGTCACACTGATCTTATTACAACTGGCTAATACAATAATAAGAACTGTACTAAGCAATAACATATCTATAATAATCTATATTAATCATGACATACCCCAATGGAATTTCAGTGCAGGGCACATCCTATGAAAGAATAATAAACTGTTTATGCTGTCCACATGCATCCAACTGCCTACATGTATTTGGATATTTGAGCCTACTGGTCAGCATTTGCTCAAAGCTTAAATATAATATCTACCATGCACTGGATGTAGGGTTAAACAGCACTTTCAGACAAAGGAGATATTTTCTGGAAGCACTGCCTATATAATATGAGGCATGGAAGTTTACAGTCACTTTTTAATATAAACAGCACAATCCCTATTCCTAGGAGACATGGCCTTCAACCAATGGGTGTAACTTACAGATGTATGTAATTTACATCTACTTTAGAGATTTGTTCAAATTGAAGAGATTCTCATTTAGTCCTGTAAGAGTATAGCATGTTTTAGCTTATATGGTTTCTTAGAAAGAAAAGAGGTTGCATTGGGCTAGTGCATAGTTAAAGAACAAGAGCAAAATATGAGGCAGGCTGATTGCACAATGCCAGCTATCTTCCACCAGGCACATATATCAAAATCCTGGATATATGGTTTTATGCTTTTTGCGCTACATGAAAGAGGGGATACCTGAAAATGGGAATATTGACTTACCTGTAAAATTCTATTTTTGGAGTATTGTACAAGACACAGGATCTTGTATTCTTAACCCTGAGTTATATGGACACTGGCAAAAATAAGAGCTGCAGGGACAACCCCTATATAATCCCTCCCTCTCCCAGGAAACTTTAGCTTGGTAGCAATCAATAAGGGGGGCATAAGCACAGAGGGGAGGCACCTGTGTCCAGTACTGTAATCCAAGAAAAGGATTTTAAAGGTAAATCAAAATTTATATTTTCTTAATCGTACAGTAAAGGACACAGAATCTTGTATTCGTAACCCTGGGACAACCCCAAACAGTCCAAGTGAGTTATGTCTGGATCCACCCAGCTGCGTGAGTGACAGCTGGCTCTGCCAATCTAGAGGCAGAGCCAGTTGTACCCGCCCCCTCCCCTGTCCGTTCCGCCAGTCAGAGCTGGAGGATCGGAGCGGGGAGGGGGGAATCCAGTCCCTCCCCTGTCACAGCTCTCTGCCGTGACAGGATCGAGAAGTGAGCAAACGCCGGTATGTGTTCGCTCACCTCCCGATCTACTGAGCCGACCTGTGACAGTCTCATTGTCACAGGTCGGCTAGAACTATGAGGATGAGTGAAAAGTACTCACCTCATAGTTCTCCTTTAATTTGCTTTCAACCAATGCTTTAAAGGGTTCTGCAAACATATTTTATTTAAAAAAAAACCACCTGTGATGGATTGCATGAAGGTTCTCAGTTATCCAGGTCATGGTATAGCTAGTAGATCGGTACTTAGAACTGAAGAAATTGTTTAGAACAGTAGCAAAATGTCTTCAACAAACCAGTCCAGGTGAATGTGAAAAGCTACTAATGAATATACCTATGATGGAGAATACACAGTATGAACTCTTCCCTCACTTTCATAAAGCCTTACCAAAGTCCAACAAGTTTATTTAAAGAACTCCAGGATGTTGAACATATAACCCTTGCAACGGGGCTACCCCCACACTTCAAGGGTAAACTGTTTTTTTCTAGAGGCAAAAATAAAAAAGAAACACTCATGTGATCCTCGGTCCTGGCGCACAGACTACTCACCTCTCTTCCCCTCTGCCCCGGCTGTGGTATGTCACTTGGTCTCTTCATGTTTTATAGACCTGTATTAGATGTGACACTGTCACAGATCCTTAGACTGTTAAGGCAAGGGGAGAAGAGGCTGCGGGGGCCAGTCTAGCAGCAGGCGTAGCCCCACTGCAAGGGTTAGTTTTCTTGAATTATCTTGAAGTTCCGCTTTAACTTTGGATAGAGCAGGGAAGGGTTAGAGCCTCTTCCACGTCCTGCTGCAGGGACGCAGGGAAAAACACACATGTGGTAAGGGAAAAGTTAGAACTTCTGTTTTTGTTGTCTGTACCTTCCTGTCCCAGTGACAAATGCTCCCCGATTTCTTGCCCTTGTGTCGTAGGGACAAGAGGAGAGGTAAAATCTCCGTGATGGGGCCCACAGGCAAAAAAAAATGGCAAAAAATTAGTTCTCACACACTTTATTCTGAACTAAAAAATGGCTATAGCTAAACTTTAAATGGAGGAACCGAGGGCATGCAAATGCATGCAAGTACCAGATTCATGCTCAAGTGTGCAACACATTGAATGAAAGACTATGTATTCCCTGAAGTTACTTCTCTGAGCTTATCAAAAGAATCCTGAACCGAAAATAATAATATGGACGCAGGCATTGCTGATCTCGTTCCAAAAGTGCTAATTGCCTGGCTGTCTGTAGTGTCAATACTTTCAGATTCATTGATCCAGAAGATGGATTTAACAAGCAAAGTCAGAGTGAAGTCAGAACTCCCGATCTGCATAAATATTCCAGGTCAGTGACTCAGGAGGTATATGACAAGGGATCAGATTGATAGCCAGTAGGCTAAGATTTTCAGAAGCAGAGGTTGGTAATGGAAGCATCCATATTTTGTCAGTTCACGTTTTCCTAAAATCAGGTCCGATACATGACAGTAACCAGTGTAGGAGTCACTGATGAATCACTCTTCAAGCAAAGTGCATAGATATGCACTAAAGGTTTTTAAGAGATTGGGTCATTTTGACAGCCAATGAGCTAGCATTTACACAAGCAGAATTTGGCAATCACAAGGTGCACATGTCCTCAGTACAGGTTTCCTTAAAATCAGGCCCTATACATGAGAACTAAAAGAAGAAGAGTTTTTGACTAACCAGTCTTCTAGCAAAGTGCCTAGATATATGTACGTCATGATTTTATTTCGTTTTTCAAACATTTCCATGTGGGAAGTAAGCTGTTTTCTTTTAAATGACAAATCTGGCAAATCTAACAAGAGCAACCTTTGAATACTCTATACATTTCAGGTTAGTGTATCACTAACATTATTGTTTAAACCATAGAAAGAGTTAAAGCAGGCTACTATTAATTCAGCATCCCGGCAAAAGAAGCTATTTGCGTAGATGGAAGAAGTGCAACATGTGGTTCTTAGTAAAATGCTCTGTACACAAAGTGCATGATAATCCACTTGACCTGTGTGCTCACTTCTCCATGGGATAAACTTGTCAGGATACTGATGAATCTCATATGCATTATTCATCCACAAAAGACTATTAGTTCGATGGATTGTGTGTATACACAAACCAGATACAACTAAAGAGGAAGGCAGACAAAGGACACCAATTGTACCTTCAATCTATACACTTTGAGGTTATTTGAGGAATAATCTATAGTGCAGAGGGAAACCATGCTGCACTGTCCTCATTATTATTAGCAAAAATAGGCTTTTTGTCTTACCTGTAAAATTATTTTCTTGGAGCCAATTACAGGAAACAGACTCCCTGGGGTTGATTTACTAACCTTATAAACACACCACGAACATGTATACACCTCTGTAGTGTGTTCCCTCCCAGCATGATCTATGGGTGGAATCTAAACACCTTTGTAGTGTGTACACACCCAGCAGGTGTGTTGTGCAAAGCCTTGCATGAATTTGCAAGGTAATGTTGTGTAAATTAGCTCTACATTGTGTTGCTTGCGTTGATGAATGCAGGAATGTAAATGCATGAGCTAACCATTTTTGTCTAAACTGTGAAGCAGCATTATATATGCATCATGTGCATGATTTTTCCATATATGGCATTAGTGGAAATATGCTTTTAGATACTTTTTGGTTGATAAATACGTTTTGCTGTGTGAAAATCACATGCACCTGGTGCGTGCGTGTGTTTAGGTTAGTAAATCACCCCCCCTGAGTCTGAGACCATTGGGTTATGCAGCTGCCTCTAGGTGATAGGACAGCCCTGTGAAACTTGTCCCACTCCCAGCAAATTTTGTATCAAGCAATAATTGGGTCAGTTGGGACCAGTATGGATCATCAGAACACCATCCGTCTCGATTTTGCAAAGATGTTGAGACAGAATTTTCACAGAAAGGAAAGCATAGATCAGCCTGATCAGATCCCACAGTGTCACCCAGGCATCTGGACCGGAGGCCCGGGGATCCCTGGTGACAAGGGTGTACAGTTTGTTGATGAATCTGGATACCAGAAGGTCTACATGACATATCCCCCACTCAAGACAAAGGTCCTGAAACACTTTTAGATTTATGGACCATTCTGCATCCATCAAGATTTAGTTGCATGACGTCTGGTGCGTTGAAGGGACAACCAAACCACGCTGAGCTCTATGATGTTGATTGGGAATTGAGATTCCTATAAGGAGGAATTCAGGAACAGGTCTTCTGCACAATGGACATGACCCTGGACCTGTAGTTGGACCTATATGTGCTGCACAAAGTGCCAAGGTTAATGCCACATGCAGGGATACCTGAGCACATTACAGCCCAGGGTTGGGAAGGGTTAGAACATTTTGGTAAGGGTTAGAACCTCTATCTGTTTTCTTACATTTGTTTTATTGCTGTCTATGTCTCTGTTGGAGACATTGTCACTTACCTCCTATACTAATGACCACTAGAAAATAAGAAGAACCTCCCTAACATGAACTAGGCCAATAATGAAATTTGACAGGAGTTCTAACTCTTCCACACCATACTAAGGAGGTGCTTCAACTGCATGGTCCCTGCTGAAGAGCGTTTGCTCAAGTCCTGGCCCAGTGA